CGACTGCGGGCACGCCGCGCCGCAACTGCGGACGCGCCACACCGCAACTGCGGGCACGCTACACCGCAACTGCGGTCACGCTACACCGACTTGATCTTGTTCCCGCAACTGCGGTTCATCGCTGCTTGCCCACCCTCCGCTTATCCCCAACTGCGGCAGATCGCCTCTGTTCCTCCTGCTGCTTGCTCGACTTACCGGCGCGCCCGTGCCCGACGAAGACGCGGTTCTGGCGCGCGCCTTCCTGCCAGTCCCGCCCGAAGATGTCCTGCTTGAGTTCCTCCTGGATGACCTTACCGAGCGGGGGCAGGGCTGGCAAGCCGAGGCCGCTCCTTCTTCCGCAGCTGCGGTCAGAGTCTTTTTCCCGTTTCGGCTGCGCCGTCGTTGTTGCCCATCGCCGAGCGATGGCGGAATCGCAAGTTCGAGTCATCCAACCAAGGAGCGGCGGAGGGTGGTTGTCGGAAGGCCTCCCTGCGTTGTCCATGGCGTAGTCCGCAATGCGCGCGTCGCTCGGGCCAACGAGAAAGACAAAGCTGGGATGCAGGACGCGTTGGCCTGCCTGGGGCCCTCCGAAAACAAGGCTGGCCTAGCCGCGAGCACTATCGCGAACGGGCGCGCGCAGCTCGCTCCGCAACTGCGGCTCAAGGCTACGAGCTGCTCAGTTGGGACATCGAAGAGGCCGCACAAGAACCGAGCACCCTTGGCCCGGATGGCAAGCGCGGCCTCCTCGACGATTTTTTTCTCACGCGCTGTTTGGTCATGGTGCGGCGGCCTCCGTGCCAGAACGTCGGTGGGCTGGAGTCTGGACATCACGGCACACGGGATCACCGCGTTGGGATTCCCCTTAGGGAGCTGAAGGCGAACGTGCACGATCGAAAGCGCGTTGGTGGCCCCAACAGCCTGGTCCGCGACTGTGGCCTTTCTGATGAAGAATGGGCGCCGCGGCAGCAGCCCCGTGTTGTCGCACAGCTCATTCGCTGCCCAGAACGGCTCCTCGGTGCCTCCGCGGGAAAACGTCTGCTCTGTGATCGCCTGCATGACCGTGTCCTTGAATTCGGTCCGCAGGGGCTCAGTGTCCGCCGACTCAGGTTCCTCCCTGGGTCGGAGCAGCTCGGGGTCCCACGCCAGGATGTGGAGCGCCGCAGTTAAGTTCAGGACGGCATACCACAGATCGCTCTTGGTGGCCGCCTTCGTGACGACTATCACGTCGAACGCCAAGGAGGTGGTGGACGGAACCTTGCCGCCGTCTGTGGTCCTGATGAGCCCTCTGTTCCACGTTGGTCGATCCCCAACGTAGGGGGGATCCCAGGAGGGCTCCCGGTCCGCTGCTTTTCCCGCGCGTGTCCCCGCGACTGCGTGTTCCCGCGGTGCCCGCGCACCTCCCCGCGGCGGCGGCTCCGACGGTGCCCCCGCATCCCCCCGCGACTGCGGCTCCGACGGGGCCCCCGCGCTGCCCGCGACTGCGGTTCCGACGGCGGCGGGGTCTCCGTGGACGGCGATCTCTCCCTCGAGGCCCGAAAACCCTCACGTCACGAATGTTGGGCCCCAGGGCCCACTGAGGCCCCAGGGGCCCCACGTTAGTGAAGTGATGTTTTCTCCCACGCGAGGACCCCGGAATCCATCACCTCACCAAACCGAGCCCAGGACGAGAGTCAGGGGCCGAGTTGCTGCTGTGATGCGACGTAGGTCTCGCGGTTTCCCCTTCGCGGCTTCCTCCTGGAGCGATCTTCTCCTGAGAGGCGCGCGGGGGGCGCGCAGGTCCCTGGGCGCGCTGCTCCCGGCTGCGCCGCGCGAGGCACCTGGCTCGCCGGGCCACTGCCGCGACTGCGGCCCTGGGGGCGGCTGGCGCACCTCTGGCGACCTCGTGGGCGCTGCGCAGCGACATCTGCCGGCGCCCCCGAGCACTCCGAGACCGCTCGCGCGGCTGCGCTTCCCGGGGCCGCGCGCGCCGCGGCGGCGGCGGCCGCCGCCGCCCCCATGGGGCAGACGCCTGCGAGGACACCTCGCGCACCGGTGGCTCGGGGCTTTCGCGGATCTCCCCAGACTCCAGAGATGAAGATTCACACTCCAGATCTACCACCGCTGGCAGCCTGCGCGGCGGTTGCTCGGGGCGCCCGCGACTGCGGCCAGCCCCCGACTGCGCCGCTGCTTACGGCGCTGCCTGCGCCGCTGCCTGCGCCGCCGGCCGCTCCCTCCACTGTTTCTGGCGCCGCCGCGCGCGGCCCCCGCCCGACGGGGGAAACGGCTGGCGGCTTGGGCGAGGCAGGAAGGCGAAGGCGAGGGCGAGAATGAGGGCGAAGAGGAAAACGAACAGGAGGAGGGAGAGGAAGGTGAGGAAGAGGATGGCGCGAAGAGCTCGGACGAGGAGGAAAGGAGGAGGAATGGGTCTGCGACGGGGACGGCAGGGCAGAAGCGGAGGAGGAGGACGAACGTCCGTAGCTGCAGCCAACGGAGGGGACTGCGACGAGGATGACGGGACAGAACTCGGCCCACGGATGGGAATGCGGCCAACGGAGTGGAACGCGGCGAGAAGGAACGGCGGAGGGAGGGATTGAAACGAGTAATTTCGACAGGGGAAGGGCGACGACGACGACCGACCCTTGGGGATCCACCTTTTTGCCTGTCTCCGCAACTGCGGCCACGCTGACAGAAGCAGTGCACAAGCGGAAGTGATGCGCGCCCGAAGCACCTAATTACAGCGGTCTCTGGCGGGGGCGCCGCAACTGCGGCCAAGCAACTACAGCGCCGCAACTGCGGGTGGAAGGCGACGCCGCAACTGCAGCCGAAGGCGTGCACAGTAAGTCAAAGGAGAGAGGCGCCACGCGATTGGTCGCCGCGACTGCGGTTACACGGCTGCGTCCGCCGCGGTTGCAGCCCACAATTGCGGCGTCAGGGCTGCGCGGACCACCGCGGTTGCATCCCAGCTCCTTGGGTCGCGTCGAACCGCCCTGGATTTGCACGGGCGGGCAGGTTCTTGTAGTACTTGACCGTGCCATTGCAGTCGCCCTTGTCGAGGCCTGCCCTCGGGGCCTGCACGGGGACCACTGCGGCTCCACCTCGTACGTGTCGAACTTAGGCGTGTTCCATGACGGGTGCACGCGAATGCCCGTGCCGTCGCCGCAGATGAGGACTAGATCCCGCGTGGGCAAAGGGATTATCTGCGCCTGTCCACTGCACACCTCTTTGCAGTGCCTCATGTGGTCGACACTGTCTGGGCAATGGCCGCACTCGCAGCGGACCAACCCGCGACTGCGGTCATTGCCAGGGCCGCGCACCACGCGCAGCATCGTTGGTCCATCCATCTGCGCGACCATCTCCAGCGAAGACCACGGCACTGTGACAGTTTGGTCCCAGTCCCAGTCCTTGTTGTCCTGCGCCTTCCCCCTTGCCCGGTACTTCAGGATCTTCGGAATCTGCTCCGCAACTGCGGTGCCGAAGACAGGCGCGCGGGTGCCGAAAGGGTTGTCCTGGTCTTCGCATTCGTCTCGGAAGAGCTTCGAGGCCGCGTTGTGATGCCTTTAAGTTGCCGGAGCAGTCCGCCATGAAGTTTTCGAAGAATTCCAATCTGAAAGTCGGCGTTTCTTCTCTTCGCGCATCTGAGAACAGCGCAACTGCGCCCTGCCCTTCGCGCCCCAGAGGATGCGGGGGGTTGCCCCCCCTTGCCCGCCGCTGTCGCGGTCGCGGCCTTCGCGAAAGGAGCGCCTTCCCAGGCATTCGAGCGGCCGCGTTCCCATGCGCCGGAGGAGCACTTTTATTTCCCCATGCGCTCCAATCCCGCCAGCGGCCCTCTTCCTTTCCGCCCCAGCGGTCCTGTCCTCCACCGTCGCCGCCCCGTCCGCCGCCGCCCTCCCATCCGCGATGGTTGCCTTGCCAACCTCCGCTGCCGCACTCCCATCCGCGACTGCGGTCCCATCCTGCATTCATCTGTGGCCCGATTGGAGGCTGCGGTGACGCAGGCGCGAGCCCGCCCAACCGTTGTCGAACCTACTGTCGGCGCGGGCCTGGGCCGAGCGCTAACGGAGGAGGACAAGGAGGAGGAGGAGGAGAAGGAGGAAGAGGAGGACGAGGATGAAAGTGAGAAGGACGAGATGCTCGTGGGAGGGGTCGAGAGCTCACTTTTCCAGGGCGCCCCCCTCGTGACCGCTTTGTCGCGGCGGAGGGGGGCAGTGGTCAGAACGCGCCCCGGGGCCAAGGGAGGTAGTCAGAACGCGCTCCGCCAGAGCCCCCCCCCGTGACTTCCCCGCGGGAGGGGGGGCGTTCCAGAGCTCATGGGGTGAGTTACAACGCGCCCTTCCAGGATGCCCCCCCCCCCGTGATCGCTACTCGCGGCGGGGGGGGGGCGCCCTGGAAAAGCGACACGCTAGTCGTCGTCTTCGTCGTCGTCACCGCTGCAACGGCGACGACGGCGACGACGGCGAGGAGGAGGAGGAGGAGGAGGAGGAGGAGGATGCAGCCACATCCACAGATTTATGATCGTACCATAATGGCTTTTTACAGAATTAAAGCTCCGTCAACGTCGTCGCCGTCGTCGTCGCCGCTGTCGCCGTCGTCGTCGTCGCCGCCGCCGCCGTCGTCGCCGTCGTCTTCGCCGTCGTCGTCGTTGTCGCCGCCGTCGCCGCCCCAGCGGCACGCTAGTCCTGCGGACTCGCACACCAGAGAGGGGCGCAGATCAGCAGGTAAGAACGAGGCAGGAGAGGGCACAGGATGGGGAGGATGAGACCGAGGAGGAGGAGGAGGAGGAGGGAGAAGGAGGAGGAGGAGGAGGAGGAGAATTTCAAGATGTAGGGGCACGCCGAAGGCGATCCTGCTGTTGCCCTGCCGCCTTCTGGTCAGCATTCCGCATCGTTCAAAGCAGTGCCATGCAACTGCTTTGAACGATGCGCGCTGTGTTCAGAGCAGTGCCCCAGCATTGTGTGCGACGTCCCCCTTTATGAGAGCTTCTGGATCACACACGTGTGTAAACGCGTGCTTCCGTGGCCGAGGCCAGCCGTGGTCAGGAGAAGCCCCCTCGTTCCTTCTCCTTCGCCGGTCGTGGTAGCTCGCCGAGCGCGTTCCACTACTCGCAAAGTGCCTACTCGCAAACGTCCAAGAAGCACCTGTCTGCTTTGACGTAATTTCTCGTAGATCCCCCGCGGGGGATCCAGACCATTTGCGAGCAGTTCTTTTGCGAGTAGTGGAACGCGCTCGTCCAGTAGCGCGATGCCTGGAGCCGAGACGCCAGGAACCGCACCAGTCCTTCGGACACGTTCCTGGCGGCCCGAGGCCGCGCAGCCGCGGCGAGCACCTCCCGCGGCCACTCGCCTGCGCCAAAGCCACGTGCTACAGCCACACGTCGGCTGCCCCGGAGGCCTGCGCCATTCCGCTGGCCCCGGCCGAGGACTCGTGTCAGGACGGAAAAAAAACACACAGACACAATTAATCGTCGATTCCCCAGAAAATATGGGATAATATGGGAAGTGGGGGGGAAGACAAAAACCCAGAAAATATGGGAAACTATGGGGAATCTGTTTATTTGTGTGTATTTAGTTTGTGTGTCCCAGGGACCCTTCATGGTGGAGCGCCTGTCGCCGTGGGCAGGGCCCGGGCCTCCGACGCCCCGACAAAGTCGAGGCGGCGCTCTTTTGTTGTTCGCCGATGTCGGCCTCTGGGGCCCTCGCGGGACCCAGAGGCGTCAAAAACTGTCCAGGATGCAAAAGCTGGCCCTGCGGAACGGGTTGGGAATTCCGGGTGCCCCGGATGGGGAAAATCGCGTCACCGAAGCTCCGGGGAGAAAGCCGAAGGAACCTGGGCGGAAAAGCTGCAGGAAGGCCCGGGGAGCCGGGCCCGCTTCCGCCCGCAGTGCTCTCTCTTTCGTTTCCAAGCCTTGGCTCTATGATGGGGCTGTGCGGGGGAGTTCCTGGGACCCTCCTGGGCTCTGTTGAAGCCTCGTTCGGCGTTTTGTTGGCAGCTGCATGGCGTCCCTTGAGCGGTCTCTGGGCCAGGTGCGCGAGCCGCGGCCGCCTCGCCGCGTCCAGATCGGGGCAGTCATGTATCTTGCATCTCTGCGGAACCTTGACCGCCCTGCAAGTTGCGGTCCTTCTTTGTGCACGAGGCGTGCTCGACAAGGGTCCGACAAGGATTCGACGCGGATTCGACGTGGATGAGCGGAGTCGACGCGGGTTCTACGCGACGAGATGGGACAGACAAGGTCTCCCGAAGATGCGGCACAACGTATTGTGGCGGCTTGGAGGCCACTTGGGGGGTTCTGAGAACACCTTGCAGATTGGGGCCACCTTGGAGTGGGGAATGGTAAGCTGTCTTAGGGGGCCCGTGGATTTTCTGTGAGGGATCCAGATTTCCTCGTCAAGCCTTTTCTCTTTGGCATTCGGCATGAGCGGAGTTGAGCTAGTGCTTGGTGTGGTTTGCTTCTCTTCCTTTCTGTCTCTCTCTCTCTCTGTCTCTTTCTCTCTCTCCTTCGCTTTCTCTCTCTCTCTCGTTATCTCCATTTCCCTCTTTGCTTCTCTCTCTCTCTCTCTCTTTCTCTGTCTCTCTCTCTCTCTCTCTCTCTCTCCCCATCTCTTTTTCTTTATCGCTCTGTCTCTGTCTCTGTCTCTGTCTCTGTCTCTCTCTCTCTCTCTCTCTCTCTCTCTCTCTCTCTCTCTTTCTCAAACCATGGTTCACTGCATGGGCGTCTCTATTGCAGGTCGGCTTGGGTACCTTTCCCAGTTAGCCTAGCTATTGTTTGCTTCGCACAGTGTTTAATTCGGAGTTGTGCGTAGGGAAAACCAGTCCATCGTGAAGCCATCCGTAAGCCGCTGAGTGGGGCTGGCAGATCGCGTATGCAGAGACATGGACAAGACTCCTCTGGGTGATCCATGCCTCTGCCGGGCTGGCTCTCTGGCGCGGCCATCTTGGAGCCTCTCTGTTCGTCTCGGGGCCACGCAGGGACAAGCGTGGAGGCCATCGCGGTCCACAACAGGCACGCCAATTACGTCATTTGCCTGCCATCGGGTGCCGCACGATAGTGTCTTAGATCCCGATGGGGCCGAAGAGCCCTGAGGCAAGTTGCGAAGCTCAGAATCGCTGAAGCATGTGCCCTTAGATTTCTGATAGCAACAGATCTCATAGTTTTTGACCACTGTATGTTGGGCCATCTGGGGCCATCGGATGGTCTTCAAAGTGAAGAGTCCCCGAGAGGCCGGGAGTCATCATCGTCAACACCATCCCAACCAGACCAGGATTCGGTAATCATCGGTCGTTGGAAGTAGTTAACCTTTGGGCTCCTAAATCCGAATTATCTCAGGCATCTTCCTGCTTCAAGGGTCGAACGGTTGTCCTTCCCTCGTCTTCAGGTGGCAGGCGGACACTCAACCTGCTTTCAACGCCTCCTTGCTTCAACTCTCTACGCACTTTTTCCAGCTGATGGGTGGCCCGCCCCCAGCGCACTCCTTGAGGAGGAGGTGGAACAGGTGGAACAGATAATGGACCGAGGTCACTCGCACCCAGCGAAAGGGATGCCTAGCATGGGGCGCCATGCCACCAGACAGACCACCGCGCCCTCCCTCCCCACGACTTGGCCTCCGCGGAGCCAGGCAGGAGGGAGGGGATGGCGCTTCCAGCCTGGCCTCCTCGAAGAGCCTCACCGAGGCAGCCAGCCCTCCCCGAGCTCGCCGCACAGCGCCTCCCGGACCCCGCCCCGCTGCTCGGGCGAGAGGTCATTACGCACAGCGCGCAGGGCAGCCACCCCGTGCTCTGAGCTGTCGACGCTGCCGAGGCCCAGCTCCGTGAGCTCTGTGTTCAGCATGTGCACCTTCAGGGACTCCTTCATGGACCCGATCTCCTACGAGTCGAAGCGATCCCCAGAGAAGCCCGCACCACGGGCCCCGTGGGTAGCCTCCAGCTCCTCGCCCTCCGACTCCTTGACGCCCACGGACTGCTGCTCCAACCGTCCCATGTCGTCAGAGAGGCTCACGTCGTCGTAAGCGTTCTGCTCCGCTTCCTCCCGAGGCGGAGGTCGGCAAAACTCCCGACCTCCGCCTGCGTGCACCAGCACAGGAGGTACCGCCTGCTCCTCCATGAACTTGCCCTGCTTCGCTTTCGCCTTGGCACCTCCAGCGTGCACCAGCACGTCTGGAGGTACCGACTTGATCTTGTTGATCTTGCCTCCCTTGCCGCTCCTCAGCGGCACGAGCTCAGCATGACCAAGCCGCCACTCCGCCATTCTCGCCTCCTGCGACCCACACCTGCGCCACCTGCGCGCCTGCGCAGCCTGGTTGGCCTCGATGACTGTGGCCATCTCCTTCTTATCCTTGGCGCCACCTGCGTGCACCAGCACATCTTGAAATACCGCCTGCTTCTCCTTGAACTCGTACCCGATGCCACCTACGTGCACCAGCACGTCTTGAGGTACCGCCTGCTTCTCCTTGAAGTCGCGCTCGTACTGATAGCTTGACTGCAACATGTCATCACCCTCCTCGTCGCCACCAGCGACGGTCGGGTGTACCAGCACCGAGGGGGGATCCACAGCGCCGAACCGCGGCTGCTCAGCCCCCTCGCCCCCAGCGCCGCGTACAAGGGCCACGCCAGAGCCCAGCTCCAGGTACCAGCGGAGGAGCTCGTCCTGGTCTTCCGACCCGTCGTCCTCCACCGACACGTCGCTCCACTGCACGTCGCTCCACTGCACCCGCGTCAGGCCGCGGGTCGTACCGTCCTCTTCCGACCCGTCGTTGTCCTCCACCGACAGGTCGCTCCACTGCACCCGCGTCAGGCCGCGGGTCGTGCCGTCCTCGCTCGGCGACGGCTGCGGCTGCGGTGGCGCCTCCTCCCGTAGGCGTCCCTTCCTCTTTCGCTGTTTCGGGATCGACCCGCTCGGCTCCCTTGCCCTCCGGCGGCGACTGAGCCACGCCAAGCTCCTTCCGGTCCTTCTTCTCCCTTTTTCCGTCTTGTCCTTCTTCTCCATTTTGGCCGCTTCGGTTGGGCGTTCCTCCAGCCGCTGCCAGGGGGCCCAGGCCGGTGAAGCAGAGTGCTCCGCCTTCACCGCGTCCACTTGGGGCGCCCTCTTCTGCCTGCGGGCCTGCTCCGCCAGCGCGCGCCCGGAGGCCTCCTTGGATGCGGACTGCGGCTGCGGCGCCAGCATCGCCTTCTCCCGCGCCAGCTGCACCTTTCCCGCTGCAGCTGAAAGCGGTCCGCCTGCAGCGTCTACATCTCGGCATTCAGCAGGTAGGCCCTCTCCTCCAGCGCGCTTGGCATGCTGCCCTCGCGGCGCGGCTGCCCGCTGGCTCGAGAGGGCGTGCGGCTCCGCACCCTCGACCTCGGCGGGGACAGCGGCACGTCCCGCTGGCCAGGCGGCGGCTCGATGTGCGTCTCGACCTCGTCGCCCCCCGACGAGCCGCCCTCGATCGCCAAGTGCGACGGCGCATGACTGGGCCTCGGGGCCGGTCTCTTCTTCGACGGCGCGGCCGCCCTCGCCGCCCGACGGGGCCCCGCAGGCGGCGACCGCACCGTCCGCGCCCGGGGCCGCCCTCGCGGCCGCTGCCACCGCAGCGCCCGCCGCCGCCCGCACAGCCTCCGCCACGTGCTGAGTCTGGGGGGCCCTGGTCTGCCTCCATGGCGCCAGCTCCGCTGCTGCCGGGGCCGCCCGATCAGCACCCCTCCTCCCCCATGCCATACAGGCGGCCCGGAGTAGCAGGTCGACCCTGCCGAATCGAGGCTGCCCTCGTGTCCTGTGCCTCGCGACCCGTGCCCTCTTACATTCCTATGGCAATGTGGCCCTCGGAGGGGTCTTGTGTCCTCTCCCGTGTCCTCTCCTCTCAAGTCCGGCTGTACGCCAGCTGCTGGGCCCCTCGGCGCTGTGCCGCTCCGAAGTGTGCTTCGAGAAGCGCGAGCCCCAGCCAGGGGAGGCAGCCCCCCCTAGCCGCCCGCGGGCGAGCAGCGCGGCGGCGCGGCGCGCGGGGGCGCCTGCTCGCGCCGAAACGTTTAGGAGGAGGAGGAGGAGGAGGAGGGAGGAGGAGGAGGAGGAGGAGGAGGAGGAGGAGGAGGAGGAGGAGGAGGAGGAGGAGGAGGAGGATTTTTTGACGCGCACAGCCACAGACCCCAACTCAATGAGGCAAAGCCAAAATTCAACAGGCTATTGGCAGCCGCCTGAGGGCGCAAAACGGCGCAGGCCGCGCCGCGGACGGCGCAGGCGCGACCTAAGCGCGACCAGGGAGCGCAGGGAGACCGTGCTCCGCGCTCCCTGGTCAGGGTAGGGGGCGCGAGCCGTGCTCAGCGCCAACCCTACCCACCACCCACTCCGTGGGTGGCCGCGTTTTCCGGGCCCCGGGACCACGAGACGACACGACACGACAGGGGGACGAAACGAACGACGCGACACGAACGACACGAGACGGACGAGCGACACGACAAAGACGAGCCGCCAGCCCCGCCCCAGGGCGGCGAGCGCT